TTATGTCTAAAATATCAGCTACTCACTCATAATTATGTGTTATTTGAAGAGATTTTTGGAATTAAATCAAAGAAAGAGTGAAATATTAAATAGTTTATCTCATAAGTGTTTTTTGGTGCAGGTGGCATACGGATGCATCCGTAGCTGTAGAGGTAAGGTGCACCTTCAAATTATCATGGTATATAATTTTGATGCAAAATGTTCTTAGGATTATCTCAAAATCAATATTTATATCTAATTATAAAATTTTAAATTTCAAAAATGGTTAAAATCAAGTAGATCTATAAACATATGAAAATATTGAAAATGGACGGCGTAGATAATATGTTGTAAAATGCACTATTTCTGAGACTTAAAATCTTTTTAGTTTTCATGATCATACATCACGATGCTGAGATAATTACTCAAAGGGTTTTTCAATATTAAAACTACCTTTTCCAATGGATTTTTGAAGTGCATCCGTAGTTCTACGGCATAAGGTTGCATCCTCATATAAACTTTTTCCTTTTTGATAATTTTTTTTAAATGCGAGGAGTTTATTGATAAATTTGCCGAGTTTTAATGCAAGTCTTAGGCTTTCCAATAGAATGTAAAGCCTCATCTCAAACTATTGCTCTGGTGATTAAGAAAACTCAAATCAATCTTTCTGATAATTATGGATTGGAAAAAAAAAAGATTTCAAACATTAAAATTAGTATGTTTTGAGAGAATTGCACATGGATATACACCATTATTAGAGTTTCAAATTTTATAATTAGAGTAGAATAGATTTTTAGGGCAATTTAGGGAATTTTGACATCAGAATTGCAAAGCTCCAGTGAGGTTTCGGATAGAGTTTTGCCTTTTAAAGAAAACTCTACTTATTTAAACTAGTATAAAAAATTAGCATTAATTTTATGAAACTCAAAATGGAGATGGCTACGACCTTGTGATGCAGCCAAACGTACTACTAATTAGGGGTACCCATGGGCCTTAGAGGTTGGCTTGGCATGGGGCGGTTCCAGGCCCCTTTTAGGACCCACCTTGCTTGGTTGGCCTACAATTAAGCAGAAGCCCACCACCTAGGCCCGGATTGCGTACACCCTAGTACTAATATACATCAAAGTTCATGATAAGAGGCCATCTGGTAACTAATTGTTGAATGGCACCAGGGCTAGGTCGGATTGACAATAGGCCTTGGCCCAGCCTAGCCCGGCCCAAACTGGGCCCAGCGGCCCTAGCCCAGGTCAAGCTTGGCCAAACACAATCGAAGAAAATGAAAGAAAAAAGGGTTGAGTTCGGCCAAAGTAGTCCGACTTTGTCATGGCTTAGGCCCGGCCTGGTCTTGACCTCGGGCTGTTGTGGCCTTGCCCTTGGGCTACATCTTGTCACTAGTCCCCTTGGCTCATTGCCAGACATAGTGTTTTAAAACCTGGTGATTTCATTCTGGATCACCAATCTTGATGGGAATCGGTTGGAACTAAACTATTTTCGAGATGGTGCGGTTTTTTTATACGATTTCCCTTGAAAACTATATATATATATATATATATATATATATATG